TGGCGCTCAGGTCCCCGCTACCAGCTGCCACCCTGTGAGGAAGGTGCTTTTATTGCCCTTCTGCAAAGAAAGACACAGAGTCTGAGCAGACAAGGCACACAGCTGGAGACTGAGGGCCAGCATTTGACTGGCCAGACACTTGCAAGGGGGGAGGGGGGCTACAAGACATTCATGGAAGAACTGAATGACAAGATGAAGGAATTCTCCCAGGAACTTTCTAGAAGCCCTTTGTCTCCAAGGTGGGTCAAAGAGGATGGCTGCAAAATCATAGAAACCCTTATTAACCACAAACATTAAGATGCGAAGCTGCTGCTTCTGAACATCTAGATCCACACGCACTTCCGGAGGCAGTACGGGCTCCATCTCTCTAACCCTGTGGTTCTCAACCTTCCTCAGGCCGCGCACAACCCGCAACCCTTTCATACAGTTCCTCATGTTGTGGTGACCCCAGAACAGAAAATTATTCGTTGCTACTTCATCACTGTCATCTTGCTATTGTGATGAGTTGTTACGTAAATAACTGATATGCAGGATACATTAGGCAGCCCTTGTGAAAGGGTTGTTTGACCCCCAAAGGGGTCGGGACCCACAGGTTGAGAACCGCTGCTCCAGCCCATCCTTCGGGAAGAGTTGTGCTCTCCCATTCCCACCCGTTCAAAAGGCAGTTTCGGCTTCCCGAGGGTCTCAACTCATGTTTCTTTCCAATGTCCCTTGAGTTCAGCAGCCAAAAAACAAGTCAGAAAGTGCAACGTCAGGAAGGTAGGGTACACAGGATCAATGCTCCCCAACAAAACCCTCATAGGACACTCCTTCCTACTCTGCAAGGGGTCATGATGGGGGGCAGAGGGAGGGGTGGATGGGGGGCAGAGGAACTCTGGGCCCAATTTTTCTGGCCTTTCCCTCCCCAATGCAGTTTTAAACTTCTTATATCCTTTTCATAAATAAGCCCGGTGATTCTCTTGTGTCCTCTGAGAACATCTACAATATTATCCCTTGGGGGGTGGTTCCCCAACAATCACCACCTGTGCTAATCTCTCTGCCTTGAATTTAAGTGGCCCAGACAAGAGATCCCCATCAGAAGCTGAGACACCCCCCGGCCCCTTGCAATACTTCTTGACTTAACCCCTATGGAAAAACCTTCACGTGAACGAACTTGTACACTGTCGGCACACCCCAAACAAACTCACCCTCCAAACCATGGTACTCGCCCCTCCCTGCCCATCTGGGGCCTTGCTTTTCCCAAGAGCAGGCTCTGCGAGTCAGTTGGCATAAAGCAAGCCGACAATGACCAACCACGAGGGGCGGGCCTGTGGCCTGAGGGGCCCCCAGCATTGGCCACAGACTGGACGCTACACACGTGGATGCAAACGGACCAGCCAGGAGCAATTAAAGAGACCTGTGGGCACGACCGGTGAGAAATGGAACTACTGTCGCCGGGCAATTTGTGCCGAAACTGTCAGATGGGACCCAATTTGCAGAATAAACTTCCACCCCCAAGACAACAAAATGTTCCACCTTCCTCGGGGGTGGGGGTGAGCTAGACAGCCAGGCCCCTCCGCGCACCTTGCCCGGCTCCCGGCCCCACCACCCCAAGCAGAAGAGCGTAGGGGACCTGAGGCCAGTGTCCGCGGCCAACTACTGACTGCGAGCGGCCCTGGCCGACCCTCTGCACCCCCTGTCCCCCACCTCGCGCGCCGCCTCTGTCCGCAGCACACGTCACTCCTCGGCCCTGCAAGCTCCCCGCCACCGCCGCTCTCCCACAAACGCCCAGAGATCTGGTCACCCCAGCGCCCGGCAACCACCGCCGTTCCATCCAGAGGCAGGACCGGGGGCGCGCCCCCAACGCCAAGCCCCCACCGCGTGCAGGAGCCCCCACGGCCCCGAGCGCGCGCCGCTCACCTGAAGTCCGGGCCTGCCGGACACAGCTGCCCGGGTCTTCGCGGCCGCGCGGCCAGGCGGGCGGCCCCTCCGCAGCGGTGTCCAGGAGCGCTCGGAGCGCGGGAGGCCGGACCGTCCGCGCAGCCTCGGTGCACCCGTGCAGCCCACGCCGCCGCCGGGCTCCCGGGTGCGGGCAGTGAGTCTGCGGGACCGTGGCTGGGGGTGGTGGGAAAAAAAATCCAGCGCGGGAGCCAGTGCGCGTGCGCAGAGCCACCCTTGGCCCGCGGAATCCTGGGAGTTGTAGTTTGGACCCCGAGAGGCTTGCGTTTTACCTGATTCCCAAATGAAAAACAAACCCAACACCCTGTTCTCGAGCCAATACTGACAGCGACCCTCTAAGACTGCCCTGGTCCAACTTTCTAAGCCTGTAATCTTCACGGAAGAAGACCGGTGAAACGTTGACCATGGAGCGTCTTCAAACTGCACACCTTTCTGTAAGAGCCAGCAGCCGAATGAATGATCAGGGCTCCTTGCCTGGTATTAGGATTACACATTCATGGTAGTGTACACACATTATGATAATAAATGAAAATGCAAATGAACCAATAAGCAGACAATATGTATAAAATCAAAGTAATAGATTTGCATATATATATATACACATATATATATAGTCAAAACACAACAAACAAAACAAGCCCACTGCAGAAGAGTGGATTCAGACTCACAGCAACTCTACAAATAAACCAAACTCACTGCCATCGAGTCAATGCTGCCTCATAGTGACCCCACTGTTGACGGAGCACAAAACCCAGTCTTTCTCCTGTGGAGCTGCCGGTGGTTTCGAACTGTCGACCAAGTGGCTCGCCGCCCAATGCATAACCACTGAACGACCAGGGCTTCTTCAGAGGGCAGGTTAAGACTGCCCCTGTGGGTTTCCGATACTGACTCTTTACGGGAAGACAAAGCCTGGTCTGGTTGGTTTCAAACTGCAGGTCTTGTGGCTAGCCACCCATTGCATCACCAGGAGGCCGCCAAGACCCCCTTTCATAGCAAACGGGCCCTAAACACAAAAGCAGCCGGCCTCCAGCTGAGCCACATGAATCTCACCTGATCCCAGCGTCGCCCTTCAGCTGGGAAAGACCAAACACGCCCAACTCACATGACTGCGGCTTGGGCATTTGTTACCAATTTTCTAACTGGACCTAGGCTCCGATTTCTTGATTTGTGAATGTTAACCCTCCACTGATTAGAGTAAATGAGATTTGAACTCGTGCGTGCATCTTCCATGACTGCTGCTATTTCTGTAGCATATTGAGACTGTATTTCTGTCTACATAATTGAGGAAGCTGCCTCTAATTTATAATTATTTTAAATGGTGATGCCCAGTGTTGAGGGAATCAAACTTGAAAAACAAAAACCAAAAACTTACTGACGTTGAGTCAATGCTGACCCATTGCAAGCCCCGTAAAGACCCTGGGTGCAAGTTTGGAATAAGTTGTTTCAATTATGCAAGCAGTTTGATAACATAGCCCCAACCATTTAAAAAACACACTGCAGACCTCTAACCAAGAAATGTTAACCACCGTGGAGGAGGAGGCATACAAAGATTGAACAGTTTTGTTTACAATAATAACAGATTTAAAGGTTGGAATGGCAATACTACCTTTAGCCAAGTCGATCAAGAGCAAGCAAAAGTACAAGGACTAAAAGGAAATTATATATGTATATTTATATATATCCTAGTCATTTTACTTGCTCTTGATTTTCTTCCTTGATTAAGATTCCGTCACGTGTCTGTCTGTCTGTCTGTCATACTCTGGTGGCTTGGTGATGCTGTGATGCCTGAAGCTGTCACTGGTCCTTCAAATACTAGGAGGGTCAGCTAAGGTGAGCAGGTTCCAGCAGAGCTTCCAGGTTCAGAACAGACGATGAAGAAGGAACAGGCTGTCCACTTCTGGGGACTTTGTCTCTGGAAACCTTATGGGTGGCAGAGGAACGCTGCCAGATGTCGTGCCAGAAGATGAGCCTCTCAAGTCAGAAGTTACCAAAGACATAATTGAGGAAATGCTCCCCTCTCAAAGTAGTGTTGAGCATTATGACGTGGATGAGACCTTCATTTGCTGATGGGGCATGACTCCAAATGGGAAGAAACAGTTACAAATGTCTATGAATAATCGGAACTTGGAATGTACAAAGTATGAATCAAAAAATTGGAAGCTGTTACAAATGAAATAGAACACATAAAGATCAATATCCTGGTTGCTCATGAGCTGAAATGGATTGATATTGGCCATTTTGAATCAGACAAGCAGGGCTTACTCTTCCAGGAATGACAAATTCAAGGGGGAATCAAATCACATTCATCATCAAAAAGAATATTTCGAGCTCTCTCTTGAATTATAATTCTGCCTGTGATCGGAGTGTATCTATCTGTATACAAGGAAATCCAGCCAATACAACTATTACTCAAATTTATGCACCAACCTAAAGCTAGTGATGAAGAATCGACAAATTCTACCAGCTTCTTCAGTCTGAAATTGATCAAACACGCGATCAAGATGCATCATAACTATTGGCGATTTGAATGTGAAAGTTGGAATTTTGCAAGACCAATGATTTCTTCATTGCTTTATGTTTTCTCAACAACATGACAGTAGCAAAACGAATAAGAAAATGGCCGATTCAAGCCCAAAGATATCAGCCAGAGAGCACACTGTCCATAGATGAAATAAATACTCAACTAAAAGACAAAGAAGGTCAGACGAAATGAAGGGAAATAAAACGCAACTAGATGCTGCTTACAAGAAAGCAAAAGAATCAGGAAATAAATACCACTGCAAACACTAACCAAATAGGAGCCAGAGCAATTGTGCTAAAGGACACATATGTAAGCATTGGGCTGCTAACCAGAAAGGTCAGCAGTTCAAACCCCATCAGAGATTCTGGGGTAGCAAGATGAGGCCGCATGCTCCTGTAAAGTTATACAGCCCTATGGAGGGTTATTACAAGCCAAGATTGACTCACTGGCAATGAGTTTGGTTTGGGGGTACAACTATACTAGGGAGATCTGGGGGTGCAATGATTAAGTGAGGGACTCACTGCTAACTGAACGGCCTGTGACTCAACCTACCTGCTTGTCCCTGGGAGAAAGATGTGGTGCTCTGTAAAGATTCGCAGCCTTGAAAGCCCTAAGGGGCAGCTCTGCTCTGTCCTGTCACGTTTCTGGGAGTTGGAATAGACTCAGTGGCAGTGGGTTGGGTTTTTATACCTACACTAAAAATCAGACCAAGAAGCAAGATATTGGTCCATGTGCCCACATGGTTCAACGACGCTTTCTGAGCGGTACAACTATAGGGAATTTTTATTCCATCCTTTTTTTAAATTCTCCGCCAAGCTCCAAACCAAGCTCACAGCCATTGCGTCTATCCTGACTCATAACGAGTCTAGAGGACCGAATCGAACTGCTCAGATGGGCTTCTGAGACTGTAACTCTTTACGGGACTAGACAGCCTCGTCTTGTCTTTCTCCTGAGGAGCTGCCGGTGATTTCAAACTGATGACCACGCAGGAAGCAGCCCAACACATAGCCCCTATGCCACCAGGGCTCCATGTTCTGCACAACGAACTCCGAACACTCTTTTTCTTTAAGTCAGGGCAAACATTATTTAAGGAGATTTCTCATCATGTCATTTCGTAGATTGGCAGTGGGACTTACCCGTGGCAGTCTGCTTCCGCCTCCGAAACCCAGGGGGAGTGCTCCATAGGTCCGCTGTGGGTTGGAATCAACTAGACAGCCACGGGTGAAAAGATGTGTGGCTACCATAGTACATGGTGGTGGTGGTGCTCTCAAGCTGGTCCTGACTCATAGTGACCCTTCGTACAACAGAACAAGACACTGTTTCGTCGTGCGCCGTCCTCAAAATCGTCCTCATGGTTGAGCCCATTGTTGTAGCCACCGTGTCCAGCTCCCCTGGTTTTCCCTGCCCTTCCACTTTAACAAGCATGAGTTTAAAGCCTCATCTTTCTCCTGAGGATTGGCTGTTGGTTTAGAACTGCTGACCTTGCCATTAGAAGCCCAACTTAGAACCACTATGCCACAAGAATTCAAAGTCATTGATTCAGCTTTGGTGTTCCTTATTCAATGTCCAACTTTCCCATGCACATGAGGCGATTGCAAACACATGGCTTGGGTCAGGAGCACCTTAGTCCTCAAAGTAACCTCCTTGCTTTTCAACACTTTAAAGAGGTCTTGGGCATAGCAGATTTATTCAAGGCAATGTATTGTTTGATCTCCAGACTGCTGCTTCCGTGAGCATTGATTATGGATCCCAGTGAGATGAAATCTGTCGCAACTTCAATTTTTTCTCCATTTATCAAGATGCTAGCTATTGGTCCAGTTGTGAGGATATTTGTGTGTTGGTTGTTACATTTGAGTTGCAATCCTTGATCTTTATCGCCGAGTGCTTCAAATCCTCTTCAATTCAGCTTACCATAATAGATGAGCCCTGGGAAAGGCCTCCCTTACCAAGCCAGTGTGCGCATACAGAGAACCCTGAAAACATGAAGCCAGGGTCCCTTTGTCTTCCCAAGGGCACATAGGTGTTGCAGGCGGCCCATGCCCACAGTTTAGTTCCCTGGAGCTCTGTCGCCCCAAAGGCATCTGGGACCCCCTCCCACTCCCACTCCCACTCCTCCACTCCACCCTTCCCCACATCTCCTTCCTGTAGGGTTTGCAGTCGGCCAGGCATGCACCTTTGGGAGTCAAAGCTCTTTTTGAAAGTGCTTCTGTGATTCTTGACCAAGGAAGTTAAAACGTCGAATGTGGACAAAGTTAAAAAAGCAAACACCAACCACCACCCACTAAAATAATGCAATTTAAAATGACCCTTAATTTCTCTGTCCAGAAAGGACTTGAAGTGAGCCTGTGGGCCATCACCTTCCAAAGGCTGGTTTTCTCTGTGCGGGGACACTCACTCTCCGAAGTGAGGACATCGCGTGTCCATTATTGTGTGACCTGCCTTTTTTATGTACCAATATGTCACAAATGCCTTGGAAATAAGCATCTTTGGGAGGGGCTGGCCATTCCCACGGAGTCACAAACA